ACTGACTGACCTTCATTTCTTAAAGTAATGATGGCCACTCGTTTTTCTTTAGTTAGCTGATTGGTTCTTGCCATAATATGAATTTTAACAGTTGTCCAATAGGGCTGTCGGCTGTGTATTAACCTGACTTCTGCACAACACAACTGATGGTCCCAACCCCATTGATAAAGCAAGAAATTCCACTAATTAACTCTGATAAGGCACACCTGTGAAGTGGAAACCATTTCAGGTGACTACCTCTTGAAGCTCATGGAGAGAATGCCAAGAGTGTGCAAAGCAGTAAACAGAGCAAAGGGTGGCTATTTTGAAGAAATTAGAATATAAAACTTGTTTTCAGTTATTTCACCTTTTTTTGTTAAGTACATAACTCCACATGTGTTCATTCATAGTTTTGATGCCTTCAGTGAGAATCTACAATGTAAATAGTCATGAAAATAAAGAAAACGCATTGAATGAGAAGGTGTGTCCAAACTTTTGGCCTGTACTGTATATTAATGATTTCTTTTTGGTCATTTATGGGCAGCTCAACAAGCTGAAAACACAACACTATTATATTATTACCTTGTAAAGTTGTAATTTTGAATGTGACCAGTTGCTCATTTCCAAATCCAGCAGACAGAGCAATATGATCAGTCATTTGTAATGATGTTTATGTCCACCTGGAGTCCAACATTCTACCTCTTTTAGCTCTGTTTTTGGTCTCTGCCAGCAACTGAGGGAAATAGCTGCTAATGCTCCACTATGTTCACCAACTATTGTCTAACTGCGTCTCTCTGCTGTTCGCTGCTCAGCAAAAGAATGCTGAAATGGGTCGCCAAGTACACTTCAGCTGCTGTTAATATATCTGGGCAGCCTGCTTACAGTAGGAGCCATTCAAAAGTTCCCCTATTGCCATGGCTGAACCTCAGCAGGTCCCCGGCAGGTCCCCGGCAGATTCGTGACGGCTCCGTGCAAGCTTGCCGCCTGCTCCGTGAAGTTAATTTAATCCCCTGCAATGACGTAGGAAATGCAGCCCTGACTTGTAACGCCCCTAGAGACCTGTGTGAAAACCAGTTGCAATGCTTCATTTGTCCACGGGGAGGAGCAGTGATTATCACCAAAATACTGTAATATCTGCAGATTTGGGAAAGACGGCTTATCAACTGGTCCATGGCTCCACGGAGCCTCTATTTAGCCTAGTAGCATTTTATGACTAGGTCGAATTACAACTACTGTATGCAACCCATATTTTTAAAAATAATATTACCATGTGAAAAGCCAAGAGGACGCTCTCTTTTTATCTTTCAAAACCTATACTTGTTCCTGTGTTTCCCGTTAATTAGGCTACCCCACTGTAATTAAACTCCATCTCATTTACCGTGCTTTGTGTGACTTTTTTGCCGTGTTATCATGATTCAAACTGAGGTATTTGGAGAAGATCCAAGAAATAAATAACATTGATCCGTACGAGCTACCTGCAGCTGGAGCAGGGAGACGCGTTGCCACCTTGCACCTATATACAGTTGGTTCACTACTTAGTTTTCGGCATTAGTTACTATACAGCCTGAGATCTGAGAGCCTGAAAATTTAAAAGCCTGAAATCACTGGACAGTCCCACTAAGACATGGCATAATGGTTATGTGTGTTCTGTGCGTAAAAGGCAGCCGTGGACCACACTTTGCCACGATGACACACACACACACTCACTCACTCACAAGGTGAAACAACCTGATCTCACAGAAATACGTGAAATGACCACGACCTCTTAACACCACATTCCGGTGGCAGCACGTCATGAGTTAAAATTACGTGCCGGTACCACGGAAACAATGCCAATGTAAAGTCAATTAGGATCATCTCCCGTCGTGTCCACACGGATTCCCTGATTAAATAACGTCACGTCAACCTCGTTTTCCTCAATGATATCTTTAACATTCCTGTATACACACAAAAACACGGAAGTGTCCTTGATAACTCAACAATATGACAGGTTAATGTCAAGGCCATAAAATAAAATAAATGTATTTTGCCAGCAGATAGCGTAGGGCTTTAAGAGCACTGTGCTGTGGGCGGATGGGGCGCGTTCCACTACTGTTTTGTAGCTGCTGTCTGCCGTCTGTGGGCTTCATTCCATTTCAGATTGCCGTCCGTCTGTCATAACTGAATCCAAACGCCACTGATAAATAAATAAATAAGAAGAGAAAAATAAGGCTGAGCACGGAAGAATCAGAGAGGAAACACCATCACATGGAGCCGTCCGCCCCCGGCAACCCGGCCACCCTCCACTCCACCAGGGGAGAGCGGACCCCAAGCCAGCGCCACAGAACAAGCGGCCGCCCCAGCGCACACGGCTCCCACTGAGGAAACACTGGAGTAAAGAACTAAACTATGATAAATGACATAAAATATTAAGATGTAGGCCTAACATAAAATAAATTCGTTATTAAATAAATTAAAACATAAAGCCTACAGTAGATATAAAAGTAGAGCATGCTAAAAGTAAATACAATAATAGGCTAAATAGTATCTAAGCAATAATAAAGTGTCTAAACAATAATAAATTGTATCTAAGTTATCTTTTAGGCTACCATTCCACTCTGTAAATAGATTTTAAAATTTCAATATAATTTTAATATTGTTTTTGCTTAATTCATTATTGTTATTATTGGTTTACTTTTTAGTAGTATTGTATTGTCTGAGGATGACTCATGTTAGTAAAACAATACCAGGCGTCGCGGTGTGTCACTGCTGGCAAAAATGTTATTTAATGAATGCACCAGCAATGGGGCGTCGGTGGCTTAGTGGTAGAGCAGGCACCCCATGTACAAGGCTGTTGCCGCAGCGGCCCGGGTTCGACTCCAGCCTGTGGCCCTTTGCTGCATGTCACTCCCTCTCTCTCTCCCCCCTCACACTTGTCTGTCCTATCCATTACAGGCTGAAAATGCCCAAAAATCTATCTTTAAAAAAAAAGGGTGGAGGCATCAATATCAGATGTCTCAAAATAAATCCAAAATGATCCGTATGGCGAGACAGCCGTGCGTCAGCCAGGACGCGCATCTCTACTGTAGCTTCCTGCTCAGACGCAGGCAGCACATATTTCCCTCTCTGCACAGAGATGCATTTATTTATAGTAACCACGTTTTATAGTGAGCAGCATATACATGTCCTCTACAAATCCCGACCAAGTTTGGATGAACGAGTCACACGCAATCTGACAGGAAACGAAGGCTGCTCATCAGCCTTAAAAGACTCAGGGCCGAATTCACAAAAGGATTGCGTGGCTTTTGCGGCCGCTAAACTGGTAAAAATGGAGCAAACAGATCCCGTCAAAATCACAAAGCACACGCAGAGGGTGAAATGCTCCACTAACTGCGCTGCCAAGCAGATTGTGTCTCGGTGCTGTCTCGGTGAAGTAAATAACGTGTTTAAAGCTGGTGCAAACTGGGCGCTCCTCTGTGGAAGCCTCTCGCCAAGACTTTCCAGTGATCGTGGCAGCAATGATCGTCTGTTAAATCAGTCCGTAAATAATATTTTGACATTATTATTATAATCATTATTACTTTAATGGCATCCGAAGATATTGATGCGTTGAACAGGTGACAGTCTGCGGTCGTTCTCAAAACGCACTTCAAAAGTAACTTTCAATAATTTATTTTACGAAACGGGGGAAACAAACGTGAATAAAAACGGTTCCATAATTCATATTAAATTCAAAAGATAACGAAAAAACAGCTACAAGTGAGAGGGAATAGTGATAAAGTGGTCAAATCCACAGCCTCAACCCATCCGACACTGTTAGACTGACTCACCAGCAGACATCACTACATGAGGGTATACAGTATTCAGTACTTTGCCAAACAAAGTCTGCCATTGTTCTGCCACGGTGTTCTTGGCGCAAAGCCAGCATTTATACTTTGCCATGTGGCTTATTGCAATCAGGGCCAAATCAGGACGTTAAGACGGAGCAAACTGCGGGTGCAAGTGAAGTGCAATTCAAGGTGCTATCAGCGGCCGCAGTTCATTCTTTGTGAATTCGGCCCTCAGTGTAGAAATTCCAAATAACCCAGTACGCAAACACAAACAAAAGGTTAGGGTATGGCATAGTTATGCTAAATCATACTGGCGTTGGAGGGGGAAGGGCAGCTCACAGGGCGCACATTCCGGCAGCCGACATGAGCCGACAACATTCAATAGCCTACGTGTAAACCAGAGGGGACCCTGCCTGTTAGCGTAGTGTGTGGCTGAATGTGCATTATCCCTTTTAATTACACAACGGATCTTACTACTCAGCATCCCCTTTAATAATTGTTTTTATTCTCTTGCCCAAAATAGCAAAAACAACTGCGCCGGGCCGCTTTATTTTTTTTTTTATTTTGACTAGACTGTCCGCTGTCAAAACAGAGGGGTCTTTGTACTGTATGTGAAAACTTCGGCTACTTATCAAATCCTGTAAAGTTGTGATTATAATCTCTTATTATTCAGTCTACAAGTAAAGTCTTAACGTAGGGCCCACTGTGTATTGACAAGATCTATACAGTTAGGCTACTGTACAAGATTCTATTCAAGACGTTGAAGAGACTTATTGACAGATGCGTTTCATGCAGTTGCCAGGGCTGGTTTTAGATCATAAGGCAAGTTGCCTGTTTCAACTGCCAATCAGCTCGTAGCAAATTTGTTTGAGGAATAGCTCCACGGTTCTGCGAGTGTACAAAAGCATGCAGTAGGCTACCATCAATTTATTATTTTTGTACCCTCAGTTGAAATTAAAAAATTAAAAAGTTTAAAAAAAAAAAAAAAAAACCCGCACTACTCCGCCGATTGACGTGTAGCGCTGGTACCCGGTGTATTTCGGCTGTCAGAGCTGTGCCAATTAAACGTGATGACGGCTCAACAAACGTTAAACGTTAGACATCAGTGCACTGGACACAAGGACAGGACTGCTGCTTCATTCATGGGTTTTTTATGCGCATCTGAGCGCCTGTGCCGTGCGTAATTCAACTGGGAAGGCGCAGCAGATCCAGCGGGGTTTCTTCACAAGAACACAAATATTATAAGATATTACACACAGTTTTACACACAGAATATCCTCTAAAACTCTCAATATCCTCGTGAATTGCCTTTTGCTGACAACAATCCCATGCAAAGCAGCAAGTCCAGAGTGAATGACTGGATGAATGAATGAATGAATGAGGATTCAAATTAATTAAAACGTGCGCACGATGTATGTTTTTTCCTCTCACGGCCACTGCCGGGCTCCGTAATTTATTACAAAAAGGTCAACAAAACAGGTTTCCAAATTCAAAATAACTTGTAAACAAACGAAATCTTCAGTATTACACCTTTTCGGTTATTTTTCTTTCAGACATTTTTTGAAGATGTGATCTCACTGATTAACTGAAAACAATTATACAATAACGAAAAAAATAATATCCTAACGAAAACAGAAGTCTAATCAAGTAAATAGCTAGCCTTCAGCATCAGTAAAAGCCCAGTTCTATACTGCTGCCCGCTGCTGACGCGCAGTGTGCGACTGAAATGTCTGCACTGCAGCACTGTAGCTGTGCCATATTCCACAATATCCAAACTTCGGAATGGCGGATCCTTTAGAAAAAAGAGGAAGGGCCGACATTTCGAATAATAAAGGCAGGAATTTTCGTAATGGTGGGACTTGTAAAAAAAAGGTGAAGGACCGCCAATCCGAACAATGGAAGTTAACATTCGAAGAGGAAAGGTTGCTATAGAAACGATACACTTCCACGTTTGACAAACTGAATGACTGCAGGCTGTTTTTTTGTGAGAGAGGCACCATCTCATGGCGATACCCTGCAATTGAACGAGTGGGAGTGTTTAGGATTAAAATAGGAGAGGGAGGGGGGGAGAGCCAGCACGGCAGCTGGCTGGCAGCCGGCTGGAACTTGGCTGGGATTTGGCTGGGATTCGACAGGCAGCCAGCTGACAGCCGGCTGGGAAGGGGAACTTTTGAGTGGCTCCTACTCTAAATGATTTCTATGTATGGGAAAACACAGCAGTATGGTATGGCAATCACACTCAAATGACAGCACACTGTGAGGAAGAGGACACCTTACAAGTGCTCACTCTACCACACCCAACATCAGGGCTGACTGTGGTCAGCAGTCTGCAATATGCTCAAATTTTCAATTTTCGCTATCATTGAACATCAGTCAGTTAGGACATAACTAACATTCTAGCCTCTATCAAAACCATCCTGTCAGTATCAAAACCATTATGTCACCAACCTGTGCAGTGAGGTCATCCTTCTGTTCGGTGGCCTCAGAATGTCACGGAGCGTTCTGTGAAAAACAGTCAGCATACAAAGTGAGACAATGTGTGCAAAAAGGAACTTCAAAGTACCCTGTGGAGTTTTTTAACCACTAGTAACACTATGGAGCAATGTTTTGGTGAGTAGGTCCCCATTGCAAGAGCAAGCGCTGAGGTGATGACAATTGGTGGCAGTAACACACCAAAAAATGTAGCAATGCACCAGCTAATGCAGGGAAAATGGAGACTGCTGGCTGATGTTAGACTTTAAGTATACACATTATGCATTCCATTTCAAGGAATTTAGGCATAACTTTTTGCATGGGGTGCCTTCAATAATTTCAATCAAAAAGGTAGAGAATGCAATAACTGGCATGCCTGGCCTTTGCATTATGTCTAAGAAACACTTTCCAAAGGGACAGGTTTTCATTTTCTCTCAACTAAACCATGTTTGTATTTTGTGAAGAAATAATTAAGATTAGAAATTTCACTTTTTAATTTTTTGAGTTTTGATTCTATGCTAGCAATCTACAAAGGGGTCAGTTTTTGAATAGTCACTGTCAACTGGTCAGTCTGTTCTCTCTCTCAACTCTTTGGTCAAGATAAAGATAGGTCAACAACCACTGGCCAGATCTGTAAAGAAGATGATACAGATAATAATGGTGCGCACCATCCATACGAGCTCTATCATACAGTATCATACAGAACAGATTCTGCACGTTTTCACCACCATCATAGGACAGCAGGGAATATTCATGGTTGACATCACCTGACGCCATTCCTGGTAAACGGAGGACACAAGGGTCCTGTGCCGTGGTCCTTGTCACACTGAGGAAATGTGAAGACTGGCCCCCTCTTCTGAATACTCTTCTACCAAATGTGCTGGATAATAAGCTGAATAAGCACAGGAGCAGGATGGCTTTTTAACGGCACAATAAGGTCTGTAAATTCATGGTTTTTACAGAGAGTTTGCTCGATCCTTCCATCCTGGTCTCACCCATTGTTCATTTTCAACAGTCAGCGGAGGTCAGATGTGGAGATCGTGTCCATGAGCTGTTACCTAAATCAAGAGCAACTTTGATCGGATGCCGTCATTATCATGTACCGAGGGAGTTTACATTGGTCGTTAGCTCAGTGTTGTACATTCCACCACATGCCAACATCAACCAAACACTGGAGGAGCAGGCGCACACTCTAAGACTCGATGCAAAAATATTTTTTTTTAATTCAAGTACCAACTTTTCGACTAGACCGTCTTCATCAGGGTTTTACAAGACACTGAGAGGCCGTTTACACGTACACGGTGATTTTGATAAACGGAGACATCTTCCTTCGTTTGTGCCCTTCGTTTACACGCAAACGGAGATTTCTCCTCTGAAAACGAGTCTTTCTAAAAACTCCGGCCAGAGTGGAGATTTTGGAAAACTCCGGTTGCGCGTTTGCATGTAAACTGAGATAAACGGAGATAAACGGAGTTATAGGCAGCCGACGTCACAGTATGCGCCGGAACTTGCGCCTGTGTCAAAAGTGCGACCTATGTTGCTATGGTGACAATGGATACATGGAAGACTTGAGCCTCTCGTTACACTGCCACCTATAGGTTTGGCATGCTCTTGTGTATATATACACAGGTAAGTGTAAACGAAGATCTTTTTGAAAACGGAGATGGTGAAATGTCCGTTTATGAAAATAGCCGGCGACGTGTAAACGGCCTCTCAGCTACCAAACATTTTATAGGACACACAGGTGAGATCTATGATGAGAGGGAGTGTCTTCAATTACAGGCACATGCCATGGGAGGGGCTGTCAATCAACACAAACTGCCACACAGGTGAGACAGGAAAAAAGCACAATAAGATCAAGGTTCAATTTCCATTCAAGTATAATCTTAAAGACTAAAAAAGACAGAATACAGACAATTCAAAAGTACAATTCAAAAAACAGTTACATTCTTTTCAGTTATCAAAAAGTAGTAGACAATAAAAAGTATCATTATTTTAAATACAGTCAAATCAGGAAGAGGAAAAATGCATTTAGACACCACTTAAAGTGGAAAAGGACAGAATACCCCTGTTTTTGTGAAAAATGAATTCTTATAGGAGTGGGAGACAATTGTTAGGACTTTGAAAAAAGACATCTAGATATTAGAAACATAATTGTTAATGATTTAGTAGAAAAATGTTAAATTTTGAATAGAATTTTAGAAAAAGAATTTTTAGGAAACAGGATTGGGTGGGACAGGTATTTTTCTCCCCTGGCTCAGGTAGAGCCAAGCGAGTCTGTATTCTAGTTGCTAAAACAGTCCCATTTAAAGCTAGCAATATCGTAAGAGATAAGGATGGTAGATACATTATAGTATCTGGTTTCTTATACAACACCAAATGTACTCTTGTAAACATATAAGCTCCCAACACTCATCAGGCAACTTTTATCTCAGCTCTTGGCCCTATAATTTCTAAAGCGGTGGAAGGACCTATATGCCTTTCTGGTGACTTTAACTTAGCGAGGACACCATTAGATTGTCCAGGGCCCCTGTCATCCTCTGATAGAATATCAGGGACAGCAATGGAGGAATTACAGTCTTTACTTGGTGAATCTGATACCTGGCGATTGATAAACCAGGGTGCACAAGAGTATACCTACTATTCCAGAGTGCACAATTCCTACTCAAGAATTGATTATATACTGCTATCCAATCAGTACACTCATAATATTATTGATTCTCAGATACATAGCATTGTATTATCAGACCATGCACCTGTCTCTGTCTCCTTTTTCCCATCACCCAACTTATGCAAAACCAAACAGTGGAGACTGAATAATTCCCTATTAAATA